TATTATGCATTAGATTTCTTTTGCCTGATTGATTGTAGGAAGGGAAGCTGGGAAAAGAGGAGGATATGGAGGGAGCTAAGGTAGGAGGAACCTCGTTTTTCAACCCCAAGTAAACTTACTATACAGATACCCACCATCTGGCTGGGGGGAACTATATGCCAGTGTGTGTCTATCCCTGTAACTTCTCAGCTGTGTCTGAACTATATCCATGCAAATAATTTTCAACAATAAAGTGATTCTTAGGTCATATTTCTTAAGAATGTTAAAAATGTCTGGGCCCTGTCACAACTAAATTGAGTAGACTGAGTTCAATGAACTTTGAGTAGGATTCCTAGCCATTGTATGAAAACAAGCCATTTATACTTCTTGCTGTTGCTGAAAGAACTTTAAACATGACCAAAATCGAAGTATTTTTGGATTTTCTTACCATTCTGCTACAGCTGTCATCAGTTATCAAAAACAGTCTTATTCTGAAGGTAGTAACTTTTAAAATATCACTGTTAAATTCTTGTTTAAATAAAAGCTTATTTATTTAGATAATGGTGATAGTTCACCCATCGGTTTTCCACCAGAAAGTGGGAGTGATCAACTAAGTAAGTGTGGCCACATGTTTTCTCACTGGTTACGATCTACATCCAGATCAACTGAAAGAAAAAAAGCAGATCTATTATAAAGACACAATGGTGGTAGAAGTCAAACAGACACCAGAAGTAGGAAATACGTCTTAAGGCTTCTAAGGGGCTATTACAGAGTCAGTAAAGAGATTTTTTGCTGCTGAGCTTCTACCTTAACTAAATGGTTTGCCTCCTGGAATAAATAACAGTCATTCATTTATTTTTCTTTATGTAGCATAACCTTGAAAATACTCACTATGAATGCTCTGTAGAGCTTGATCTCTCACATTTTCTTTTTTAAAATTTAATTGTGTTATACTTCAAAGAATGCAGCAGCAGTGTTGAGAGGGCGAACAAGGAAAGGGTCAAGAGATATTAAACTTAAAAAGAAATTACAATCGTTATTAATTGTCATAGCAACAAGGGTAGTAATAGATCCTGGCAGGGAAGCCGAGGGACAGAGGACATCGATTCTCACTTGCAGTGGTATCGCTGAGCTGTTCTGTGGCATTAGGCAGTCCATTCTAGGGGCCCTTTTCAATTACGTATGTTTTCAGAAAATACTACTCAGTTAGGACAGCCCTGAGAACCTAGCTAATGGTCTCTGCTTGGATGTTCTTTTTTGCATTCATGAGTTTGTTTCTGGTTTGTGTCGGTGGAAGGACTCCACCCGCAGAGGTGAGCAATGAGAGCAGGGAAGCAGCTTGACTCGCGTCTCTGGCGCTCCTGGCTGGTAGAGCTGCTCTCTCTGCCAAGCCCTTGTTCTCCCCAGGGTGGACAGAAAATGCTTTAATTTGCTCATTCTCACTTCTGTGATTGTCCCTTTATAAAGAAAAAATGAACTCTGAGAGAAGGAGGGAGAGTTTCCCTGGCGGAGGTACTTCTGAGGAGAATAAATCTGGGGGAACTTCTCTTTGTCTCTTTGGCTTGACTGCTGCTATAGGTGCAGTCATGGAGGCTGTAGGACAGGGAAGGCGTGGGGGTCACAGGTGCATTGGGAAGGCAGCTGGGGGCCCTCAGCTCAGGTCGACGAGCAGAGATGTTGCTATGAGGAGCTGGGTGCACATCAGCCTCGCAGGACAGAGCAGAAGAGCACCGTTTGTCTCCGTTCTGAAGGTTATTCAAGTGAAGACCTTTCTGAAAAACAATAATATGCAGAAGGAGAGTTGTACACAAACTTGTTCATTTTGGTTTATCTTACCTAGTGGAGTTTTTTTCGATTTAGAAAACTGTGGTTCTCTTTATGTTCTTGAAATGAACTAGAATTTGTTTTTTGATGAAGGCTGAGAACACTACATTTCGCCCAAGATTTCAGACTACACATGAATTACTGCACAAGATGTAGGAGATACTCAATTAGCATGAAATCATGCTCATTACTACTGGTATGGCTCATCAAAGGATGCTTAACATTAATATCAGTGTGGGTTCAGCTTGTAATATAGATGATAATTTTGAGGTAAATAATAAACCTGTGAACGTCAACATTTTTACTTTTGCCTCTACTTACATGAAAAACTTGTAGTCATGGCTTAAAATTTCAGGGATTGTTCTGGACTTCAGCAAAATGTTTTTCTTGTGTTAATAAAACAATATATAAAAAAGGCATATTGTATATCCTCCGAGTAATTTAATATACACCATTTTATCAGGCTTGAGTGCATAATAGCATGATCTCTAAGGTCCCTTTCAACCTAAGACATTCTATGAAATTTAAAAAGGGAGCAGAAAAAACCCAAACTCTTCATTTGTTTAGACATGATTTCCTTATGTTCATCTGCTCTTAACTTGCCATAGTCATTGATTCTCCTTCTGTAATATGGCTGATAATAACAGTTGGACTGAAGATGGTTCAGTCATGTCAGGCAGCGCTCTTGGAATTTGTGATCAAGAAGAGAGAACAAATCTTAGAAGTGTCTTGCCGCTACTGTTTTGAAAGATATTAAGATACTAAAAGGTAAGCATAAACCCTAAATGAGATTTTCAGTCTTCAGTGTTTCACTAGATCCAACAGTGAATCAGAAATTACTTAAGTTTTAGGTTATCTGTAACATTGAGTGATGTGTGTTCTCTCCCTTTCGTTTAATACAGAAGACTTTTAATTTTTTTTTTTTTCTGGTAAAATAGTTTTAGTTTGGGTTTGTTATGTGTTAATGCAAATTCACATAAGTATCAGTATACAGTAGCCCCATATAATGCATCTGTGTATTGCATTTGCATGTTTTATTTTTATGCTTTTACACTGTGTAGTAATAGACAGTTTGATTATCGAATGTCTGCATTTTGTCGTCATGAGGGAAAGAAACAGTCGCTATGGTAAAGGCTGTTCAGCAGCTCTTTGAGTTAAGCTAGAGGGAATGTGTGTTTCTCACTGTAATGTTCGTGTGATCTATATTTGCCTTTAGTACAAGGCTGTTGACTGCTTGTGCAGAGGCCTCTGCACTTGACAATTGCCACTTGCCTTGTTTGTATTCAGATCTGCCTGTATCTGTAAATATAGTGACAGCACTAGCAATGGGCTCTTTATCTCGCAAGAGGTTTTCTTGTGCTGATGGTAAGTCAGGGAAAGAATGCAAGAAAAATGTCCTTGTGTTGCCTATGTGTTGTTTGTGAAAGAGTAGAAAACAGAATTTTGAAAAAAAAAATACTCAGAAGCATTGAATAACTCTTAAGTTGTGAGTGTGAATAAGAATTGGAATCTATTATGGGGGAAAATATTTCAAAGAATTAGAGGGAACATAAAAAATATGGATGAAACTGAAGTCAGGGAGGGATTTTGCTCTTTAACGTATGCTATTGTTATACTTCTCTGCTTTCTGCGTTGCAAATTGCTATACAAAGATCTCACAGACAGCTTGATACTTTAGGATGATAACCTGACATCTTTTGCACTGAATTCCTGTGTTCTCTGTGTTACGTTTGTGTTGAGAGCATGTGAGAGATACGGGATGCCACCATCTCATGCAGAATCTACTGACTTTTTTTACCTGTGAATGGACTGAAGGATTAAGCCAGTTGCAATATTACTTGTAGATTTGCAAACAAGATGCCAGCTGAAGAATGCATGAATTACCTTTGTTTAGGTGTTGATGACTGTGGAGAAAATTGAGCTATTATCAGGTCAAAAGAAATTAGCATAGAGTACAATATATATGGGAAGAATATGGAGAATGAATGTCTCTTTTAAGACATTAAATATAGCAACTTCACGTTGGTAGGAACTAGAGAAACCGTTTGCTTCATTGCCTTATTTTCCAAAGTTGCCTGTGGTGAGTGTAGGTACAGGGAACGGGATAGGAGGGCACTGACCTGGCGTGTATTGTCTTCTCCCTGCTACTGTTTTATTCCCTGGATGGCAGAGAGGAGAGGCTTTCTTCAGCCATGTCTCCCTGCACCTGACTCTGTCTCCTGTCAGCTTCCAAGACCGATTGTCATTCCTGCGTCTGGCTGCAGTCGCTAGTTGTCCAGGCAGAGCCATTACATGACCCCAAATGAAGCCTAAACAGAGACATTGCTGTGCTTGGAGCTTGAAGATTCAAGATATCTACTTGAGGGAGAACTCATCATTTTATCTCCCAAGAAGCTAATCCTGTAGGAAAAAATGTAATATGAAGAGCTACCATTTTCCTCTTTTAATTGCAATCTCTTCCCCCACCCCCCTCCACCAACTTTTTGACTTTCCAGAGGATGCATTGTACAAACTCGCCTTATCTGTGGTTAAAACTTGGAAAACAAAATGAATCACAGAAAAGGGAATGGAGATATATAAGCAGCTATAGTTCACAGTCAGGCTTTCCTCTCTGTCCATGTAAGCCTTTACCACTCACCTGAATGCTTAAAAAAAAAATGTAAATAATGAATTGATCATTTGTTTCTGAATGTTATGTTTATCCTAAATTTGTGTCTCTTTATCCCTTGGATAAATGGAACAGTAAATCTCTTTTCAGAGTATTTGGTAAGGATAGGAAGTGCTTAGAATTCCAAAATTAAATGAAAAACAAGTACTGATACTTTTATATTGTGCTACAAATAACATTTTTATGCTTCATAAAAAGTTGTGATTAAACTTGGAAAGAAGAGTACAAAAAGAAGTAGAGCTATATAGGTAGTATTACTTGTACTTCTGGTTGTGGGTTTTTTTGTTTGTTTGTTTTGTGTTTTGTTAAATATTTGAGATTCTGTGAAAACAGAGAATGGTGGCAAAAACATTTGTACTTAGGCAGTTGTTTCATGCAATTTCTCACTGGACCAATGAAAATAGAAAAGTTTTCTGTAGCTCCTGCTTAAGCATATTTCCCAGATCTGATTGCTCATTATTTTATGCAGAGTAGTTTGGCTCTCACATCTGTCTAAAGGCACTTTTTTTTTTCCTCACATATGCATTAGGATGTTTTGAATAACTTGGGTTCCTGTGAGTTGGATGAAGATGACCTAATGCTTGATTTGGAGTTCCTAGAAGAACAACATCACCATCGTTCTGGTAAGTCAGATAAACACTGAATATGTTCAGTGAGATATTATTATTCTTGAAATATAAAGTCAATGTATTCCATTTGGTTGCTTGGAAATATAAAGTGCTTTCTTGGAAGGGAAAGAAGAGTATGCATTTTGTAGCATTACTTCTAAATAAGTTTGCCATTTAGCAGAAAGATACTCTTTACACTGCATTTGGACTTTGTATGGTCAATTAGGAAACACAGCTACAGAACTCCAGCACCAAGGATAGACCCATCTGGTTTTTTAGGTACTTACAATGACTGCTGCCTACCCTGGGCGGTTACTGATAGACCATTGCTGGTATAACTGTGATCCCATTTGTGTGTAGCAGAATAATATGCTGCAAATAAAGAAGATTTGACTTGAGATGTGAGCGTATCTTGTTCCTTTCTCTTATGGTTAGTTAAGGCACTGTAGCACTACCTTAATTAATAACAACAACTGAGGTCAACTCACGATGTGTTCAGAGTGATTTCTTTAGTAGGATTATGCAAGTAATCCTTGGTAAATCATGGCACCTGCAGTGAGGGATCCTGCATTTCCTTTGGCTGTGATGTGGGGCAGTGCAGGGCCTTTTTCATGAACAGGGATGTCCTGCTAAATCCATGGGGTTTGGAGAGACTCTGAAATGTATGTGAGATTTGTACTTGGTCACAGGTAGGGCACTGGGCTTGTGCTCTCTTAAGGCTGCAATGTGATTTTAAGGAGGAGTAATTCTCACCCTCTCTTTTACATTCTGTTTTCTGACCTACTACCTGCATAGGTACCTGTAGAGCACATTCATGCAGATTCATGTGGAAGTAGGGTTCATGAAACATGTGCCTGCTGGTGTGCACCGTCTTTAATTTTGGTCCATCATCTGATGCCAATTTAGCAACGGTCACAGATAAACTGCTTGAATTGCGCTCGTGTTTCAAATGTTCTGTGTTTAAGTATCCTGTTAATATATCTGAATTATCTCTATGATAATTCTATTTAACCATGGTATTGTGCTTTTTAAAACCTTGTTTGCATATCTGCTCATAGGAGAAACCATGCCTTCTGTTTTATTTGGTAGAAAGCAAAGAAGCCAGAGAGTGTGGAGGGTTGTAGCAGCAATATGGGCATGATCATAGTTTCCTAAGTTACTGGGAGCTAGGATGCGACAAAGGAACTGCACAGAAAAGGCCCTTTCTAGCCAGTACTGAATAATGCTATTAAGTGGTTACAGAAAGTCAGCTCACGGCTGAAGAAAACTTGGTTCAAAAAACTTCAGATACAACCACTGCATTTTAGAAAAGGTCATAGTCTTTAGGCTAGTTTATTCCTTGGAGCTGTTAAAAAGCAATTAACTGCCAGAAGCATTTTCTATAAATGAACTTCCTATGTTGCACTTGGCTTCACCTGTGTTTTCCTCCTCTATTTTTATATTTATAAAGCACTGAATTAACGATGATGGAAGAGCTTTGTCTAGTATATTATTAGAAAGATTTGTAGAAGCTTCTGCAACAGCTAAGATCATAATGTCTAAATAACATTATAGTTGATAAAAAGTAATTAAGATGGAGATGTGTTATGACACATAATCATTCTACTCTTGGGTCATTATCCAATGAGATGAGCAAATGCGAATGAGAAAGCAAATGAGATGCTTTTAAAATGGAAATATCTATATTGCCCTTTGGAGAATGGTGACAGTTTCTGTTCTGAGCCGTAATGTAGAGACATACATTGCAGTATGCGAATTGTCTTTAAGCAGAAATGTGTTTATCTTATTAATATTTGCTTTTTGATTTATTTGTTTAGTGATGGATCTAGCTGCAAAAAAATTAGGATTTGCCTATTAGTCACTGTTGTGTTCAATTCATTCAGTTGGAAGGATATAGCCACAGTATTGGTTGGTACAACTTCACCAAATGCCTTTATACTGGGTTAGGGTCTGGCGCAAAACAGTTAGATGTGGTTGTTTGTAAATCATTGTCTTAATTCATATTAAGATATAGAGATAGGTAGATTTACAGAGTCTTTTAGTGTTTATATACCACTGAAGTACATAAAACCCAAGGGTTAGGTACTGACGTAACGTTTTTGACAGGCTTTTTTTCTGATTGCTATATTAAGACATGGCCTGCTTCCAGAATTTAAGACTTTTCAAGAAAAATTCTTTTTAGTAATTCCAAGTTAATCCATTCTGTGTTTTCACTTTTGGGCTTGTTTGTTTTCTCCGATAGGCTTCTCCATAAAAATCTCCATAGAACTCTTCTAAACTTCATCAGTTAAAATACATTGTCAAATATTATTGACGCAATTTTTTTTTGTAAGAACTGGAATGCAAATGTGGTCAAGTGATCGCATTTGAGATATATGACTACTTTAACACAGATCTTTAAACTTCGGTGAGACTAGAAGTGATTGTGTTTCTGGACAAGGACATATAAGGTACTGCAGATAATTGAGAGGCAATGTGTGTTTTTTAAAAGATCTTTAATCTTGCTCCCTAACCAAGTTCCTTATGTTTCTCTAATACTTGATCTCTATATCTGACGTCCACACGTGTATCATACTGAAGTCAACTGGGAGTTAATACATGTGCTTCTTGATCTGTTATCAAAATGAAGGTGTTTATATGAGTATAATAATCTGGCACAAAATGCTGCTTTTTGCATGGAAACCTTAAAATTATTCTCTACGGGAAGTCAAAGTTATCAACACTACTGTGACAATTTGTAGTGCAATAAATATCCTGTTCATGTTCTACATACTGATGCTGATTATAGCGTTTATTTTGTTAAGGCCATCAGCCCTAAAACCATATTACAATCCACTTGTGCCCAACTTCGGCTCTTCAGAAGTAATTCTCTGGGAAATTACTATAGGGGGAAATGTTTCAAGAGAAGCTCCATTCAGTATCTTAACAAATACGTGGAGACATCAAGAGGTGTAATTGGAAATGAATTCAGTTCTTCGTTCTGTTTTAACAGAGGGATAACTGATGAATCAGGCAAGTTCCTATTCTTCATGAGCCCATGAAAATCTCTAAAACGACACATGAATATGAGGGCTAGTATCACATCTTTGACTTTAATATCACAAACTATTCCTTGATCAACAGGCTGTGTGCAGCAAACTGTATCGTTGAAACAGCAATTCTGAAGTGCAGTGCCACAGTTAATAAATACAGTTGATGGGTTGGTTAATGGTGAATTGAGAAAGTCTCTTAACTGCCGTTAGGAGCTCCAGATTTTTAGAGATTCTTTTAAGGCTCAATTTACAATAGCTTTTCTATTTAGCTGCTGTGATTGAAAAGAACAGTCTTTGCTAAGGTGGGGATATGTCTTTTGGCTTTCTACTGAAGTTGACAATATAATAATAGTTGTTTTTTAAAAAAATATTGTATTGATCTACCATAATTTTAGTGACCATTTATGAATATAAAGTAAGATAGTGTTGGAAGGATTTCTGGGAGAAATGCCTATTAAGGAATGAGTTTTAAAAAGGAGCTAAGAGCCAACTGACCAGCAAGGAGACATTGTTCCAGAAAGTGGAATGTGGTATTAATTAAAATACAGACCTAAGAAGGAGAAAGAGAACTGTTACGTCTTTCATTCTTTGCTATTATTTTTTTATTATTATTTATTACTCCAGCTCTTTTTTTTTTTAACCTGTGTTCTTGTTCTGTCCTCTTAGCTTTTGCTTAATGTGCTGGCTGCCCTCCAGCAACATATACATGAAAAGGGGTTCCTGCAAAAAGGCACTATGAACCCTGATGAGTAGTAGAAAAGTAAAAAAATATCCTTAAATTTTTCTCTAACCATACAATTGGAGATGAGATATACGCAAACCTCATGTTAGTGCCTCTACTTTTAATATAGATTTCTGTCTGCTGCTACTTTTTAGCACAGCTTTAGAAATCTGGAATTCCCTCATTTCTGACCTCTCTGTGAGTTTACTGCATTAATTTACTACTTTTGTTTCTGTTGTAAAGGCTGTGTTGCCAAGATAAAGAATGTAAGACAGAGGCATTTTATTATTCCACGTAACATAATTGCTTCGAAATTTAATAAAGTAATATTTATACAGTATTTGGTAAGTGGAGAGCACTAATGCATACAAATGCAAAATACTAATCAACTTGATTCACTGACATTTTTGCATACTCTTCTGAAGCTGGAATGTTGAAATCTAAACATAATATGACATACATGATGAGCCTTGAGGATGCCTTTTTATTACTCTAAATTAGACTTTTAAAATATGCTGCAGCGTTGGTTTCTTGTAAAATAATGAAGTTAGCGCTTTCTGTAGCGGGAAACCATTGCCGGTTTATAGAAAGTGACAGCATTTAACCTCATTCGTTTTCCTTTTCCCTGGCAAAACGTGACTCATTTGATTCCAAGTATTGATTACTCCAATGTATAAGGAAGACCTTTATATTCAGTGATGTAAGACGTGGGGAATTTATTCAAGTAATGCAAACTAATGTGGATGAGTCGTGTGCTTGCGTTGTGCCATAGCCTGTTGAAAAACCAAATGCTTGAGTTTCTGTAGGTAGTGTTGACATTAAATCACGACTGCAGTAAATGGTAGCCTTTTCTAAAAGCTGACGAAGACATAGCTATACAAGGTCTTTTGTAATTTCTTAACTATTTGCCATAGGTGTCATAAAAACTGTGCCCCTACATCTTCCCACAAAGAGATATGTGTGTAGCTGGGATTTGTAGTGAGTGCTTGGTGGGAACTGTTCATGGTACCGAATATTAAGTATGGGCTCATGTTATCTCCACATCAGGCTCCAAACTACACAGTGACTGTTCACGAGTGCGATATTGATTAGCTGTGTACCCAGACTGGCCTGCTGCATCCATCATGTTGCTGCTCGAATGCTTGCTGAATGGTTTTGAATAATGTAGCTCGCTATAATTTGTACAAGAGATTTATATTCAGCTGAAACTTGAGCGGTTTTGGATTTAATGCCTCAGCCTCATCTGTAAAACAGTGATCTAA